GACTTGTTAATCAATCATTTCCTGAAGTTTTGATAGCTTGAGAAGCCATTAAATTTGTCTTCTAGAATTCAATCAGTAAATTAAATCAGGTGTGCTACTAAAATTACATTCTTTCATATTAAGGGCATAAAAATGGCAGAAAAGGAGAATTAGAAAGATTCCAGAACAACCGTTCATTCTGTTTCAATGAAGAAGGAAATTTCAACTTCAACTTCTCTACCTTGTTCTTACCAATGGGTCCCTGCTCACCCCATTGCATGAAAACATCACTTCAAAGAAAAAAAAACTAAGAATACGTGTAAACAACTGCATTTTTTTTTTCTGAAAGATGAAAACAACTGCATTAGCATTTAGTGATCCAACAACAGCCAGAAGTTGGTATTGATCAGTTATGAAAATACTTGTGTGTGAACTTGTAAATTATAATTCTAGTACCTGATGATAAAATCTGTATTAAAACTGACCAAAGTAGCTTAAAACTGCTGGGAACAAGTGAAACCTTTGGTGGGAACTAGGAGAGTAAGGAGGAGAACACTTAAAAGAAGACTGAAGTGAGCAAAGTGAAATCTTTCTTGTGGCTTAGAAGGAGAGCTTTATTGATAAAAGATTGAAGAAATCTTCATTGAGAAGTAATGTATAGTAGTCATGCTTTTGATTTTGGGTCTTCTCGAATGGAAGAAAGAAACATGCTTGGCAGCAAGGTTCCATATCTCTAGCTTTAATGTTACATCTTATCTCAGTGCTTGTCTCCTTTTAGTACTTTCTCTTTCATTGGTTATTGTGAGTGAGTTGACCCAAAACAATAGTTTTGGCTTTGGCCTCTATTTATGGAACTTTTTATAAATTGAAAAACAATAAATTCATCTGTTGGAATTCAATCAAGCTGTTCTTCCGTATGCATGGAGACTGGAGAGAGTCTCGTGACATCCAGACGTATATATTTTGTATATCTCACTCCTAGAGGTGTTTTAATGGGTCAAGTTGAGCCTACCAGGCTTCTTTTTCTAAAGGCAAGCTTGAGCTAGATTTTGATCGGTCCATTTAATTATGATTTCATTGTTAAAATAATAAAATAGTATTTTTTATATTGATATTTCAAATCAAAAATAAAAATATATAATAATATTTTATTAATAATAATTTAATCGAGTTGAGCTTAGTTTAAGACCTAAATCAAAGCAAACACATGGATCTAGGTCGATATAACCCACTTTGGAGTTAAAAAATCGAGTCAAATTTATCCACCTCTCTTTTAAAAATAATAAATATGATTTTGTATTAAGGATTTAATATATTAAATATATTTTAAAAGTAAAATTAAATAAAATAATTTATTTAATTGGGTTGAATCAGGCTCGAGCATAAGAAATTCCTATCCAAGCTCGTGCGGGTAGCCCGGCCTGGACACCTTTAGAGGATTTTACATGAGCCGTTGCAACTTGTCACTCTTGTCCTAACAACAAAGCCCTGAGATAGCGTTCTGGTATTAATTAGAAATATGAGTTACAATTTTAAGATTTTAATTGGGTGGCATCATGGGAAATTGAAGGAATGTAACTTTCCTATTGCTATGGATAGTTACAATTATATTTCTTCTCAAATCAGCCCTAACCCAAGCCCTTTCTTCTTCTTCAAATGAATTTCAATTTAGTTTCAAATCATTTCTTGTGCCCTTTTCTTTGATGTATGGATTTGAAGTAATTGATTTATTATTATAATCACCAAGTAGGGTTCAACAGGCAGAATCTTGGAGGTGACTGTTATAAGCCAAAGCCAACATCTCTCGAAAACCATAAAAGTGAAAACCAAGAATGTATAGAGAATTCTGCTGTAGGGTCTGGAGAAGACCCGGACAGAGAATGAGGATTTTCCAGTCAGCTCAGATGAAGAAACCATGTTTGGAACCTTCAGTGTAGCAGGAAGTGATACTTATGGAGGCTGAGAGGAAGGCTGGCAAGTTCATAACGACGTTCAGAGAGCAGAGTGATATGATTATTTGGAAGTTGAGAATTCTTCATCCCCATGGTCCTGGCACAGACATTTCCTCTCATTTGTCTGTCTTATCTAATTTACAATATATAGTTGAAAATAGGATTTTTTGTATTCTTTTTACTTCTAGAATCAAGTTTCTGCAGAACCATATTCAATGGTGACCACATGTTTTGAATTATTAGTTCAAAAGCTGGACAATTCATTGACTTTTACTTCATCAGCTTTTGATATTTCCTTTGATTTATGGATTGTTGTGAGACTGATGATATAGCCATAATAATGTCTGAATCAATGCGTCATAAAAGTTTCATGTTATAATTGTTGTCTAGTCATAACTAAAAAGCAAAAATATCTAAATGTAAGATATTATTTTGACTCATCTAATGCTGTTAACAATTAAAAGAAAAAAAATTATAAACTCAGGATACCATTGTTTTTATGTAAAATATTTTATGAAAAATATTTCAACGATTTATGTTTATTTGGAAGATATTTTACTTGAGGGACGCAAGACATTTTTTTGCAAAAAAAAAACTTTGATTCTAAACCTAAGAGTATTAGGTTTGATTCTAAAAAAAAAAACTTTGATTCTAAAATATTTTCAAAAAATGATAATAGATAATGAATTAAATGGATAAAGCAATTGAAAAAGATGGAAAGCAAAAAATCAGCCTTAAAGAAATATAAGGACTTTCTGGGAATATAAATGCAGAAGGTGGTTTACAAAAATTACCCAACTTGCTTAGCAAAAATCCTTTTTTCCCTTTGCATGCGTCCCACGAATTATCACATTGAAACTTTATAATGATATTTTTATAGTGTGGGTTTGAAAGGTGTTCGAAAAAACTCTTTTGTTAATCAAATAAAAGTAATAAATTAATAATCATAATATATAAAAAATGGTAAACTAAGAAGAAGATTAAAATAAAAATTATCTTTAAGAATTAAAATTAAGAACTTAGAGCTTTGTAATTATAACAGGAGAAAAATGACAAGAGAAGAAGGGATTGGGTGAGATGGAATTGGAGTCAGAGAAAAAATTATTTTTATTTTTTTAAAAATAATAATATTTATTTTTAAGTCTTTTAAAGTTTTGAATTTATTTTTTAGTGCGGTGGTATCATGTGATGTCCTAATAATGTCTGAGAGCTATATATTGTCATTACATCAAACATTTTTTCAATTTAATATACACAATAACTTTTCTAGAGTATTACTTGTACTATATTATTAATCATTGATTTTTCTATTGATTCAACTGTAAATATGGTGCACCAATAGTTAATTGAAATAGGCGAAGATATTAAATCAAACAATGAATTAGAACCTAAGCCGAATTAATTAAATTCAAATAATTTCAATCAATTTATTCGATTAAAATTAATTAATACTCACTACTATATATGATCTATTTATTCAAAATAAAGTTTAGTTATAAACCAAAATTTAAAAAACAAATTACTTGTAGGGCCTGCCAAAGGTCACTTATTTTGTCACCAGTCTAATTATTACGAAATTAAAAATTACTTAAAAATATAAAATATAACATTTACTATTGTTCATGAGCTTGATTATATAATAAGATGAAAAATAAATAATATATATAACAAGACTAAAATTATATCCTGTGGGTGTTTGAAGATAGTTTGGTTTAATTTAATTTGAAACTTATTAATGAATTGTTTTTTTGTTAAGTCAGGAATTTATTGATGTACCGGAGAGGTAGAAACGTTAATAAGTGTCCGGTAAGGACAGTAGGCTTACATTTCCAGCTTCGCCCACCCTTAAAGCAAATAGTAGACAAGGACCACGCGACAAGTGGCTCATTTCTTTCTACTCCTCATTTTTAAAGTTTTATTTTATTTAATCATTTTAAATATAAAATTGACTGTGAATTTGACTTAAAACTTACCTTACTATGTTATTATTTTATATTTTTGTTTCTAACGTCAGATGGTTTTTAGGCCATAGATGTATTTATATATTAGCTATTAAAAAACTTTTTTT